ACAAGCCGTTGCTCCAGTGGAACCCGAAAGGGAAGCGGCGAGTTGGTCGTCAGTGCGAGGGTGGGGTGACTTGGAGGAGGTCATGTGAAGAGGAGATGAGAGCGTGTGGGCAGACATGGAGCCAGGTGAAGACTCTATCAGAGAGCCGAACGCAATGGAGACGCACGGCTGAAGCCCTATATTCCTGTAGGAATTAAAGGACACAATAATAATAGTAATAACTACCAATCAATCAATCAGCGAATGACCTCAAGTGTTCCAATGAGGTTCATGCAAGTGAGTTCAAGGTTGTATAGCGTTTGATTCGTATCAAGCGAAGTTACGCTTACAGTTCGATGAGGATAAGGTTTTGCAGTATTGCCTGGATTTAGGATTGCCTTGGGAAGGAGAGACATAGCCTCATGGAAAATGGAGAGAATTACTTCGTTGTTAGGCGGAGAAGGTATCGTCGTACACATGAGACAACAATGTTTAGGTGACCGGTTTATATGACACCTCTGTGTGGAAAGGATTTGTAGAGAGAATACCATACAGAAAGTCTACTACCTTAGTACCTATTGTCACTTGACTTGTGACGCAGGGATTCATTGTACATACTGATAAATGGAAAGGTTATAACTTGCTGTCATCTCTTGGATGTATTCATCACAGAGTGAACCATTCTAGGGATTTTATGGATCCAATTGCAGAGACGATATATTCGACTAGGGCTATAAATGGATCTCAAACGGGTGTCATTTATAGACATTTGGATGAATATATGTACAGAATGTGGTGTAACTTTTCTATTGACTCTGGGAGGTGTTTCTGTCACATGTTAGAGAAAGATACCCTATATAACAGTTGTATGCAGTTTTTTTGCTTTTTTCCCCATAAATATACGTTTTCCTTAATCAAAAGTCCCTCTTTCATGTGATTGGTCCGTTGAAGGTCGTTTGGTGATTGGTAGTTATTGGTGCTTAAAGTTTAACTTTGACCACCTTGTGACTTAAATTTATCTCCAAAGATGAGATGACTACGAGAGTTAGTCAGATTGGGAAAAAACACCGACTGGAACAAACAACACAGTATTTATTAGGCAAAATAAATACGGTACCTCAGAAATTTAAACCATAAATGAACAAATCTGATTGGTTGTATGACAGCGAAAATCTCTCGGGAAATTTTTTAGCACTAAAATTCGATGATTTGCTTCCTTATCAGCTTGAATGGTTTTATTGAAAATTTATTTGATTCCTTCGCATTCTTAGTGGAATATAGAGAAGGCTTCAAGCTCTTCATCTTTCAGGTTTTGAGTAGCCATTGTGTTGTTTCATCATATAGGGGAGGGGGTGAGTTTACTAACCTCAGCCTACTACCGGATGAGTAGAGGGGTTTGGGTGAGATGCGTCCATCCGCCGGGAATCAACTGCCGGCGACTATGCATGTGTGTGTGTAGTTGGAGGATATCCTACGGTTGGACCGCTGTCCAACAATACCTAAGATAGATTGAAGTGTTTCCTGATAGTGGGTGGGCATCTCCGGCAATAATAATAATAAAAACTGACGCCTATCACACAAGAGGTGGCTATCATGGTTTATCCAGGGGGTTTAAGATTATAACGTGTTGGCGTTTGATACAATAGGTACTGCGTTCAAGTCCCACTTGGATGACTATCACTCAACAGGGGTTTCAGGCCCATTCAGCTGACGAGTCACTTCCAAAAAATAGGAAGAAATGCGCATCCTGGTGGATTCCACTGTCAGTAAGCCCACCATCCACCAAATTTCTTCTAATAATTGATTTCGGTAGCTAGTCATTGATGAGATTTTTATCGATTTTCGTTTGGATATATCAGCTGGCATTAAACATCCACTTCACTGTTTAATTTTAGTTAATCGATTGTTTCTCTCCCTCCCTCCGTCTTGCTAACCCTTTAACGAAAGGTAATCAGTCGTGTGAACTGTAATTTTCACAAGTGAACAGTAAACAACAGATACACACACACACACACGAGGAATAAAAATTAACGAGGGAATAAAAGATACCTAATTAACCTGTATAGAACACGATGAACTTATAATAGAGTCAGTGGGAAATTCTCAGGGATAGATATTTTTTCAAATGGAAAATAAATGACCGAAAAATCGATTATTGATTGGTAAATGAAATTTTGAACATAGTGGTAATGATAATAATGGTAGAAGAGTGGCATGTGCTACTGAAAAGGTTTATCAGTAGTATACAAAGAGACGTTTATCGACACAAAAGGATATCTAATAGCCGAGAGATAGATCGGTTTGACGTCAGAGAGGGAAAGAGAGAGAGAGAGGAAAAGAACCAGTACTGGGGCAAAACGTGAGGGACATGAAAAGAAGACAACGAAATACAAAATACGAAGGGGGGTGGGTAGAAGTAGTACAACAGGCAAGATGTGTGCAAACGACGATTTTCATGTAAGGTGTGCATAATTTCCCTGCATGTGGTACAGGGTTCGATCCCCAGCCGACGCACTTCCAAACCTCACTAGAACAGTAAAGCAGGAAGGTGAAGCATGAGGCTAGTAACCCTATCCCGTGAAACGAAGCACCACTGCTACCGAAACTTCAGAAATCTAGCTTGAGGTCCTATGTTCCACCGGGAACCCAAAAAAATATATGCGTATATCAAGTTCCTAATAGGCGTTCCATCACCAGGTTTCCTGTCTTCTCCGTAACAGTAATAAAGGACGTATCTTATACTACTTAGAAATGAATAATCCCCATCCAGACACTAAGGAAAACAAAACACGCAGTGCAGCCATGAAGGGTCTCTTTTCAGTGTACAATAACATTTATATACAATTATTTTCTCATGAAGGAGGGTGGTAGCAAAAATGTGACAGTTAACTAGCGAGTTTCTACAGCTGGATGCGCTTACATCCGAAGCGTCTGTAGTTCTGACGCCCTAGAAGTAGAACTAGATATCTTCTGAAAGAAATCTACACCCGCAATGGATACTTACGCTGAGATGCATTGATAATAATATCAAACCGAAAAATTCGGAGAACAGAAACATTACTGCTACCGGAGAAAAAGAAACTTTACACGAACCTGAGTTTCAAAGGGGCTTAAACTTCTTCTTATCAACTCTAAGAGAAGTGTGTTCTTCAGTCGTCCGTCCATTTGTCTGCAGAAGCCTTAAGGACTAGATCTCGCATCTGACCACCATTTCTGTTGCTGTGGGCTAAGCATATTGGTTTTTCGATGCGTATCTTGTCTAAAAGGGTGCAACAACACTATTATCCCAGCGCATGATTGCAGAAAGGTAGTTGGTAGTGGCTCTATAAGCAGTGATTCCATCTGAGCAAACGCATCCTCCTTCAAAGTAATCTAGAAAGTGAAGAATCACCAGCCAAAGGTAATACGTTTTCGTCTCCCCGCTGCTGCATTACTGGAGCTCTAACCATTCAGAGAGAAGGTAAAGATGGAAGCTATCCCTACAGAAGAAAATCATTCAACCATTTCTACTATCTCATGGAAACAACCTTATTGATTTCAACTGATGTGATTTCCAATTGTTTGCTCGTTTTTCTAACTCTCAGATTTCTTTAGACGTCTTACATAATTCCATATTGTCCTTCGTGTCTGTATGCATTCTGATTACAACTCATACACTCATTAGATTATTCATCTTGTTACGTAACTGCGATACACTTATTGATTAATATTACTAACTCATCACTCATGTTACTGCTACTCTCTTTCATAAAGAAGAAAATTGTAAATACATGTGATTGTGCAGCTGAAGAGGGAGATAATTTCGTCGCTGAAAATATCCCCTTCACTGAACTGCATGTTTTGCTTTCATTTGTGAATGACCTTCGTATGAAAAGGTCAGTTATATAATCAGTAATGTTGAAAAACAAATTGAATTCTGTAAAGTTCAGTGGATATACCTATTATTCAACTACATATATGCAGAGAATTTTAAGGAAAGCAATGAAATATGGTGTAAAAAAAGGCAGCTATGACGTCATGGATAGGAGAGATTACGTAATCCACGTGTGTTACGCACATATATATATAAATTCACCCAGTAAGATGACTTTTACGCAAACACTTTTTACGTTGGCAGTCTCTTTCAATTAATGAACCACCCATATTTTCCCTGCATTAAAATGCATCTTATTTAATCTCGTTTACACTCGGATATTGTACGTCGGTGGCATAGTGGTTAGGACGCTCGCCGACTATGCACATGGTCCGGGGTTCGATCCCCGGCCAATGGACGCACTCCTTTACCTCGCTAAGTCAGAAATAACACTGGTGAAGAGGAGAGGTTGGGCATGAGGTGGCTAGCAACCCCATCCTGTAAAATAATCACTGCCAGAGAAACTTCAAGCCACTAGTTTGAAGCCCTATGTTCCACTGGGGAACGTGAAGGAAAAAAAAAGAACACTCGGATACATTGTCTGCATTAATATGGTAGAGGTAGGCTTCAGACAATCGATCAAAGCGTAATTAATCAAGATAGAGAAGGACTCAAAAGTGTCACATTTCAGTGGAATCAGTCACATATACAGGTCTCCTGTAGTATAGCGGTTAGCATTGTGGACTGTAAAATCCAATGACCCGAATTCGAGTATTCGTCGAGGTCTAGAGTAAAGCGCTTTCACCAGTTCTTGTTAGATCACCGGTATTAGGTCCAATTAGTACCTTTATGAGTGGTTGGTTGGAAAAAAGGTTTTGCTGGCATTTGCGTGTCAGCAGCCAACTGGCATACACACATTCCTAAACTTCGCTTAACCTGTGTTAAGCCTGATAAAAACGGTTGGACATGACGCTTAGAACCCCAGTGCTATTATTTACAGGTTTTGTCATCACCAATAATAGAACCAAAACATGCAATACACAGGAAAACAAAAAGAACCATCACGATAAACAAAACATTTTCAAGCGGTTTTACAAACAAAAGTTAAAAACGATCGATATATATATTCATATAAATTAATATAAGGATAAATAATAGGTATACTCACCTCCTCTTCTTGCCTCTCCACAATGTATCCACAAAAGGAATACTATACACCATTTGATTTGTTCTTGTATACTGAAGCGTATCAACGCTTGCCGGCGTGGTGGCTGTTGTTTGGTCCACATAGAGAACATTACTTCAAAGCAGTGGACTACTACTACTATGATCAGTGAGAAGCATGCAAAAACTGACGGATACTCATGCTGATGACAGATAACTTAAAATCGAAATAATGATAATAATAATAATCACACAATGATTTCAGATGGTAGCCACGTGCAAGCCAATGTTTGACGACACCGACGAAGAACAGGAAATTAGAGAAACAAAATGAGGGAGAGAGAGAGAAAGAGAAGAGAAATAATCAATAAATGAGCCTCTTTTTATGTGATGATAATGATAATAATAATTCCAATGATTAATTGTATAATAATAATCCAGCGGAGAATTATTGATAACGCCAAACAGTACAGGAATACATATAATGAACACGATAAATTGAATCATGTGCGAAAAAATAATTTTCCTGCAATTTGATTGGCCAACTGATATTCGACCAATCAGAATGATGCTTTTGAAGTAGTCAACCGTTAGCTAAATAAAGGTATCAATTGTTGCTGGTGTCATTGATCTATATGTATATACCTATATTATTGAGAATCTGTACATTTAGTTACCTGTCTAGAAGAGAAGTGTTCACATGTCAAAGGTATAAGTGATGAGTCACTCACACAACCAGTGAATGAGTGAGTGAGTGAATTAGTTAGCAGACACAAGTGTGCCATTATTATTAGGTATTTGCTCGCACATGTGCGCATATATCACACTGAGGTGAAATGAAATTCTCTGTGTTAGACAATGTGAATATGAAATGAGGTCATCAATGTTTTCAATGAAAAAATTGATGACCTATTGCATCACAGCTTACATTTTTGTTATTTTATATTGATGTAATTGTGGTGTTGTAGTATGAAGTGGGTCTATAAGAAGCGCAATAATTGGACATGTGGTCGATATGTATTATTTTTAAAAATTGTCATTCACTTGGGTTTTGAGTGGAACACATAGAACTTCAAAAGCATATCACCACATTTTCCAGTCCTCTTGATTCCCATGATTGACCATAGGCTTTCACCTCCACTATATCACCTTCGAGATGAGGTCCAACTCTTCATATTCCTATTTAAGAGCTGGCCTAGCAAGTGATGGCATTCAGCAGTCCCCTCAGTGTGTGTTTGACTTGTCTGCATTTTCTTTGGCATATGTCTTGAGCAACAGGCTCTTGGTTGGTTCGTCCATAGAGTTTCTTGTTGCTGAATCTTTCTGGCTAACCGTCTGATCTTCAATATGGAGGCAGAGAAGGCAGCTGTTGATGAAAGTTCGTGGTGACCTGTTGGAAGTGCCTTTCCTGTGGGTTGAATACAAAGTTTCTTGGTTATATGGAAATGGTCAATAATGGTCACCTTATTACTGTGACCTCTCCCCATTATAGTAAGTTATATACAAGGCGCAAAGTATCCTACGCAAGTCATTGCACATCTGACTCATCTGCAGTGCTGAAGCTTTGATCATCATCGAAATAGAATAGCCAGAACTTTATGTACAACCCCTTTTTCTTTCATGCTTTTTCATCCGTCTATGTTAAAGTATGGTGATCCCTATTCATAAATTGACCCAACGCATTTTTCGTTTTGTTTATTCCGTTTGTATACTTTTCCATTACTGCATCAATTGTTACTATTATTATTATTATTCTCACTTTGAACAATTTTCGGTATTATTTAATTGAATTTTAGATTTTCCCGTCGGCTGATTGGACCGAAGTGCTCAGTCTCAGGTTGACATGTCGGCTTCCAGATTACGAGTCCCAAATAGGACGAAATGCGCATCCTGGATTCCACTGCTAGTCACCATCCACCAATTTACGGTATTATCTCACTTGTCATCGTTTATTTATTTATTTAATTCAGTACAATCTGTGTTTTTGCCATGTTATCTTATCATGATTACCTCCTTGTCGAGTCATGTTAGAATTTTCAGCTATTGGTTTGTAGCGGCTTTTTGTTTGATTGGTCGGAGGATTTCATCATGAGCTGACATCAGTTAGAGAGAACCATTGGAAAACCGACGGGGAGTACTGCACAGCTGTTTCTTATTGGTGAGGAGTCCCAAACTGGGCTGACGAAACAGCTGTTCAGTACCCCCAGCTTGTTTTCCAATGGTCCCCTAAATGATGTCAGCTCATGATGAAATCCTCCGACTAATGTTTGAATTACCCAATAACGATTTATATATTTTATAAAATATCTAATAACCTATTATTTTTGCTAGAGTTCACAGGTGAAAATCAACAAACTGGCTGAAGTCGCTGGCTCGCAGCGAAGACAGGATTCCAGGTGAGCATAAAGAAGACAGAGGTAATGAAGGCAGCTATTCACTATTAAAACCAGCACTAATCACCGTCAACGGGAGAGATTTGACAGAGGTTAATTCCGAGCTTCACTTATCTGGCCAGGAGGCCCAATTTCAACCACAGGTACACATGAGGATGTCAAAGCCAGCCAGCCAGCCAGCCAGAATCTGAAAGGAAAGATACGCCTTCATCAAAGTGAAACCACTTTCGAAATCTTCTGCTCTACGCCTCAGTATGAAGAAGATTCGGATTTTCAACACCGGTGTGAAGTCAGTCAGTCACTTCTTCTATATGGGTCAGAAACTGACTGGCTCCATACACAGGGTGAAATGGCCAGAAAGAATTAGCAACAAGAAACTCCACAGTGGAGCAAACCAACAGGCGTGGACCAATTGCTCAACAAATATGTAGGAGAAAATGGAGATGGATTGATCAGACATACACTACTGAGAAGGCTGTCAGATGACATCGCGCGCAATGCTGGCTATTTCTCTAGTGGAATTCCAATGGGAAGCGACGAGTGGTTAGTCATTGTGAGGGTGACATGGAGGAGATCGTTTGAGGACAAGCAGGAGGATGAGATGAAAGATTAAGGTTAGGAGTGGAGCAGAGTATAGAAGAAACTGTAGATGTGTCACTGAAACCGTATGTTCCATTCGGAACCCAAGGGAATAGTAATGATAATCACAGCTGTAAAAGTACTCTCTCAGCCACTTCAATGGTTCTCTAACTGACACGAGTCAGTCCATGGGAAAACGTGTAACAAATCCACTCCCGTGCAGACTAACTCTTGTAAATCAACCCGGAGCTTGCTAGTGACTGGTTGCAGGATGAAGTTGCCTGGAGTTCTAGTGGGGAGAAATTGTGACTAGTGGGCTCCATCCGGTCGGGAGTGAGAAGAAAAACACTCGCCATCAATGACATTCACCGATACCAGTTGCGCAAAAACCACGAATTGTTGGAGGTTACAAATCATTTGATCTGGCCATTGGATTGGCTCCCTGAGGCTGAATGATCTAAGAATTTGCCTTATAAATGGAAGGTCCTGGGTTCGGACCCTAGAGGTGGGTGTGTATTGTTGAAGAGTCCCAAACAATGAAGGACGAAACAACAGTTCAGTACTGTTTGGTAGGTTTTGCTTGGTTCTCTAATTGACATCAGCCTGGAATCAGACCTGAAACATATCAAATCCCCACAAAGTAACTCTTGAAAATTCACATTATTATCCACAAAAGATCATATATGTACGGTTGTACAGTTTGATAGTAAAGTCGTTGTAAAAGAGTGTCTTCACTAAATCAATTGTTTTCATTTTCCATGTCTCTCATTGGGGAAGTATGCACTCACTCACTCACTCACTCACTCACTCACTCACTCACTCACTCACTCACTCACTCACTCACTCACTCACTCACTCACTCACTCACTCACTCACTCACTCACTCACTCACTCACTCACTCACTCGCTCACTCACTCACTCACTCACTCACTCACTCACTCACCCACTCACCCACTCACTCACCCACTCACTCACTCACTCACTCACCATGTCTGAATCATGGGTATTTGAAGGGATTTGGATTAATCTGAGTTGTTAGATTTCGAAACAAATTAACATCAGTTAGACAAACCATTCAAAATCAGGGAACACTCCACACAAATGTTACATTCTTTACAGTGGACGCCCACGACCATATCAGGGATCAGAACTCCCCAGGACTTTCATGTAACAAGACTAAGCTTGTTGGCAATTTTTCGATCTTCGATTTTGCAAAAGATTGCATCCTAACATTTACAAGTTCTGTAATCACTTAAGAAGCGTAAATTGCTTAACACAGCCAATAAGTAGTGTATAATTTTACGCGTTTAAGCCTTCGAAATGTTTGTAATTTCCACTGATTATTCTCAGTGATTTCAATCTGGTGACAAGGCTCATCTTTGGGTTTTTGCAATGCTAACAAATCAGGAAAATTAAATTCTTTGGGCCAGCACACTAACTAATAAATTTACAAATGAAGGCAGGACTAGAACTATTTACACATTTATACAAGAAGTTGTTTGAGCAATTCTGATTTTAGAAATTCCGAGTTTCAGTACCATTCTACGGTATAAATAACTTCACCTACTCATGTCTCTTTAACTTAATTTGTATTTCCAATATTCTCATTCCCTCTTGATATGTCGGCTGTTAAAAAGCTGACGCTCCGACGACGTTTAAAGATTAATACTGATGTTGCTTTGTCGACAGAATGGAGGCGCATTTTTTCGCGGCGTCACTCCATATAGCTCATTAAGCGACGAATAGTGTTCCTGTTCCAGTGGCCCAATAGTAGCTGGAAATGCTATAGCATTTCCAGCTATGGATACTGACTGGCTCCTATTCTCACTGTGAACATCGTCCATAATTCACTGATTGAAATTTAGGTGAATTCAGACGACGAGTTCCAAGGTGAGTGAAATAAGCTTCTTAGATTCCACTGCTAATCACCAACAACAATATATAGCCAATGTATGTTTCCGCCACTGTTTAGCTCACCTAGATTTAAATGCCAAGATGACTGAGAGAAATTTTCTGACAGGTGGTAAATGAACTGAAATCTGGGAAAGGGGAATAATAACATCCTCAAAAGCCGTTTTAATCGAGGCGAAACTATACAATTAGCAAAGAAATTAAATATATCATTTATTGATCAGTGAGTGAGGTGTAACCAGTGTCATGTGTCCAATCATAAATGGAACTTTCGTTTAGTTTCCAAATTATTTATCAACACAGGGACCCACCAATATGGTTTACATCTTAGATGACTTTTACAATGGTTAGATACAATCCACAGCAAGCTCCTGATACTGATTTCATATTTATTGGCGTTCATCAGTACAGCGTATCCGC